GCCTTGTGCATGGTAAGACTACATGTCACCTAGTAGAGTACCCTCCCAGCTTTCAAGTAGAAGACTACAACTCTGAAGCTCATGTGAAAGTTGAAGAATAAAAACACAGGTTTGAAAGTTAGCACTTCAAGCCATGGGAGTAATTAAATCTTTTAATAAAGTCATGAAACAAAAGAAGTGAGAAAAGAGTAGGAGTAGAATCATGAGGACACTGTGGTACACAGAGAGGAAACAGTGCCCACAAAGAACAAATAAGGCAAAGGCCAAACACATTATAAATAAGACAACAGGATCAAGCGTTAAAAGGTGAAAATCATCAACAAAGTAAAAGTCAGGAAGTCTGCCTGATAACAAACAGATTCAGGACAAGGTAAGTACACAGTGAACTGATGAGAAAATGAAGAGTGTAGAAATACAGACAAGTATTGGAATAGAAAGGAATGAGAGAGAGATGGTTTATTTTCTTTCCCATTTCTCTATTCTCAAATCCTCTTTTCCTTTTATTTCTTTTAGAGAATAAGGATGAAGACCAGAGCCTTCTTACTGAGCCATAGCCCCATTCTTTATATTTTTTTAATTTTGGAAAAGCTTAAGTTATTAAATTGCCTCAGCTGGACTTGTAAGTTCAGATTCTTCTTCCTCAGCCTCCTACCTACCACGCTTAGCTCAAATCCTCTTTTCTTAGAAAATCTTTTTTTCTAGTTTTATTACTAACTATATTAGAAAATAGGAAAAACTTTGTATTTACATTAAGTAATTATTTTTAATGTCTTTCTTGTTAGTATTAGGAAAAGCTATCCTTTACCAAACAGTAATACAAATTACTGACTTGGGAAAGGAGAAACAAGGAAAAAAATAGTCCCCAAAATGCCATGAAGTCAGTAGTGATATTTACATATGTTGTGGCTCTTCCTTTAGCAAAATAAGTGAGTTTTATTCAAAATTCCTATAAATCTGGAAGAGCAATGTCTAAATTATAAACATACACTGAGAGCTCAGCTCCTAGTATTAACTATATTTTTCAAAGCTAGGAAACAGGGCATGGGATTTAGCTCAATGGTGTCACCACCTGCCTCACAAGCACAAGGTCCTGAGTTCAATCCTCAATACCAAAACAAAAAACAAACAAACAAACAAAAAAACCTAAGAAACACTGTTTCTGCCACACAAATAATGCCTTAAAAATTATTATAAATATTTCAATATTACAGAACACTAATGTATAGACTTTTTTGTTTGTTTGTTTGTTTGTTTGTTTGTTTTGAGACAGGGCCTCACTATATAGTTGAGACTGACCTGGAACTCACTATGTGGCCCAGGCTGCTTGAACTCACAGCAATCCTCCTGCCTCAGCCACCCAAATGCTGGGATTACAGGCGTGCGCCACCACACCCGGCTCACGTTTAGAACTTTTTAATGGACAGTTTAGTCTTTCTCTTTTTCTACAGTTTTATCATCTCTAAAGAATTACCCATATATCTTATCTTCTATAATATTTGAGAATATATATGTATTATATATAGTCATTGAACAATTACCAGGGAAGCTTCTGCGATTTCAACTCCCCAGAGGGCCCCTCTCCATGGTTGTGCTGCCCCTCAAGCCACTATACGTGCCTAGATTATCCGCCATCGCTCCATGATTTCACCATCATTGCCCTCCTCGAAGCTCCTCAACAAGTGGCCCTCCAACAGCTATGTCACACCCACAAGGGTAAGAGATGATAGACTGGAAATCCCTCCCTGGGCCTCTCATCGCCCCACACCTGTCCCTTTTCAGCAGGAAGCAACTACAGAAGAGCGATACCTCACCCCTCTTCCTGAGGCCATAACAAACAAAAAAGGGAGGAATGTAAGATAAGTGCCTTGGAATGGCTGCTGCCATTCTAATGAATAACTTCCTTCTTCACCTTAGTTTCCACTTCCTACCTCATGCATCACTGGTCACGAGACAGGCCACATGAACAAGGCTCGTCTGCATAGACAATAAATGTCCAGGAGTGGCCCCTGAGTGGCTGCCCGTGCAGCTGACGTAATCCCGACCTCCTACACCAGTCACCCAATGTATAATCAAGCCCCTTCCCGTTCTCTCTCTCTCTCTCCTCTCTTCCCTCTCTCCCCTCTCTCACTCACCTCTCTCTTCCCCCTCTCTCCTCTCTCTCTCTCTTGCTCCTCTCTCTCTCTCCCGAGTGGGCCACCATGCTGCCTCAGCTCTTTAATAAAGATCTCTCATACCATCTCAAAAGAATGTAATTTTTTTCAAATGTAAAATTATTATGTTGATTACACAGACCAGAATTCCTATGTATATGTTGCTACTTCATACTATATAATTTTTTAAAAACCAATACTGTATTTAACCATCAGGGATAACATAACTCCCCACAGACAGCAACCACATATTAAATGACAATTATTTGCCAAAACTGAGTTAGGCATTATTCATTCAATATTGATAATTGTACTAAGTAGGTCATTATTGTCCCATTTTATATATGAGGAACCTAAGCCAGCCAAACACCATGCAACTAGTAAATGTGCAATTAAATTACTCAATACTCTTAGGAATCACTACCAGAATTCTCAGTAAGGACAATTTTGTTATGCTTTTATATCATAAAATCATAATAAAGGTTATAAAGTAGCATACACACAATGATGAGATATAGGGCTGTCATAGTCATTCAAAGGATGTAACTTCATCTGGTACACTGTAATCATTTTAAAGCATAAATCCTTAACTTAGCTATACATCTTTACTCTCCAAATCCATTTCATGCAGAAGAGAATGAGTGTTTATTAAAAATGTAAACGAATAAAAAGATTTGAGTCAGCACAATTAGAGTGGTAAATATGAAAGAAAGTATAAAGAGAATACCTTGTGACCATGCTGCAGAGAGGAACTTTTAATCATAATCATATGAACTTTAAGGTTAAAAGTGATGGACCTGATTACATAAAAATTAAGAATTTCAGTTTTGTGAAAACCTGCTATATGTTTTTCCAGGGTGTCACAAATTCTAAACTGTTAATAACAATAATGCATAAGGAATTTCTAATATTTTTTTCCAGCAAAAATAAAGACAAGAAGCTCAATACAAATACTAAGGGCTAAGAAGTAGTATTACATGATTAGAAAATCCATAAGGAAAACCATAATTTTACCAGTAGTCAGAGAAAAATTTAGACAAGGAGATTTCATTCAATATGCATCAGGTTACCAGAAATTAGAAATTATGATCCAACAATTCCACTCTTCAATATCGAAAACATATAAAGTCACAGAAGTCCACAAGGGCTTGCTAGATACAATTTAATAAAACATACCAAATACAAACCAATAATTAACAATCATATCTAAGTGGAAGGAAATGAGGAAAGATATTTAAAATAAACCTATCTGGAAGTGGTAGCATATGCCTGTAATGCAAGCATTCTAGGAGGATAAGGCTAGAAGATTGAAAATTTGAACCCATCCTGGGCAACTCAGCAACTTAACAAGACTCTATCTCAAAAAATAAAAAGGACTGGGGATGTAGCTCAACACAAAGATCTTGAGTTTAATCCATAGTACTACAAAAAGTAAAATAAAATAAAGTAAATGCTGAACAATACATAAGATCTACAGTACAACACCATTTGAATAAATTAAAAATACATACACAAAATCATATATTTCTCCAAGCCACATATACATACATGGTATATAGTAAACATTAGAGTTAGCATACTTAGAGAAGAGACAGGTGCGCTTATAGCTAAATAATTAATGATAAAACCTTAATAAAATAAGATGTAAGAATGTTATATAAAATGCAACTTAACAGCCAGGCATGGTGGTGCACGCCTATAATCCCAGCACTCGGGAGGCTGAGGCAGGAGGATCACTGTGAATTTGAGACCAGCCTGGGCTACATAGTGAGTTCCAGGTCAGTCTCAACTACATAGTGAGACCCTGTCTCAAAAAATCAAAAAAATAAAATAAAATACAACTTAACGTACACATGATTTATCTAACTCTATAACTGAGATTGAAAACAACTGTGCATTTATTTTAAACACCTTTTGTAATTCAGTCTTCACTTAGTTTCATCTTCATATAAATAATATTAGACAGAGAAAGAGAAACAGAAAGGAAAAAAGATATAGGAATGGGACATGAAGAGCTAAGAATAAATAACAAGAGAAGGAAGAAAGGAGGAGAGAGGTCTTTCTTAAACTAATGGAGACTATCCAAATATACTTTATGCAATTAAAAGTTCATTGTGTCCCAGAATTCTAAAGACTGAGTGACACTATGTTAAATATATGGAGGAAAAAACAAATTCAGCAATAAGATACAGTGAACATATTAAAAACATCCTAAATTTCACTGAATTTTGCCACATACAGTATCAAGAATGGACTTCTCTCATCAATTTGTCTTTGTTGATGCTATAGTTTAATTTTTTTTAAATTCACTTCGTGTTTATCTGTGTGTCCACAGATGCAGAAAGGGTCATTTCTTAAAATGTTATTAATACTCATAATATTTTCCCCACAGAGAATTATTTTCAATGGGCTTTATAGAAAAATAATAACTGTTAAAAGAAATAGAACTGTAAAAAGTTTTCAAAAATATGTAAAGGTAGGCTGTCATAATTTAACTATATTATTAAATTTAAAATTATTATAAAATTTTGGGGCTGGAGATTTAGCTCAGCGGTTCGGTGGCCTGCCTTGCAAGCACAAGGACCAGAGTTTAATCCCCAGTACCAAAAAAAAAAAAAAAATTAAAACAAATATGTGTGTACGTATATATGACTATTCCTAATAATAATCTATTAATCAGTGGTTCACTGATAGAAATGTACTATCTATAGCATATTACATGGCAAAAATAAAAGATTCAAGAAGCAAGAACAGTATGTAATCAAACTACTTAACACTAATTTCTCATTTTTCATACCTAGTAATATAGAAATTACCAAAATTATTAGGCAGAAACAAACAAAGACTTACCAGGACAGAATATATATGTAGACATCGATAAACAGGAGAGAAATCCACCAAATCTTGAGCTCCAGGTACCTACAAACACACAAAAAAAATTTTTAAATTAAGCTACTGAAACACCAGCATTCATTTTTATTGCAAATGTGTTCTTCTTTAAAGCCAGATTTAACTTTTAAGTGGGAAATACAAAACAAACAAAAATCCACCATGCATCCCAAAACCTAGTTCAGTTACTGTAGTCATGCGAGTTAATAAGCTATGCAGGTATATTCTATGGCTGGAACAAGCCCACAACAATAGAGTGAAGAAGATAAACAAATGGCACTGGTCTTGCATCTACCTATAGAGATCCATCTTGGGCCATGGGCTATGAAAGGGAAAATATAAAGAATTATTTTTTTTCTACTCATATATATGGTAGATTACATTAAAATACTAAGTTTCAGTGACAAAAAAAAAACTTGCCGATCGAGATGAATTAAGTTGTCTGTCAGCAAACTTCTGAAGGGCATAAAACTAATAAATATTAAGTGACCATGCAATCAAAATACAGACGTATGTTAGAAAGGAGGGAGATTTCACATAAAATCTAAAATAATGAATGGAAAAGCCAAACCTAGAATTAACACCAGAGACTTTAATATAAAGAATGGATACTAATTAAACTTAAGCATAAAGAGAAAGTAAAAGAAAAATCACCAGGTAGAGAAGTGCAATCAAGTTGCAGTGCTAAAACTAATTTGTTATGTGCTTGTGTTTTGTGTTTGCTGACAAAGAGTAAGACACAATTTACTTTGGCTTAGATTTGCTCAACTGAAAAAGGAAATTAATGGTTGAAATTCAGGGAGTCAACAAAAATAAAAGGTGACACTGAGAATAAATGCTGAACAAAATAATATGAAACAAAAAAAGAAATATATATGAAGAAATGAACAAAACAAAGACCCAGTGGAAGTCTTTACTGTAACACCAATGGCTATATGACTTAACGGAATATAAGGAGCAGGCACATCTAAACTGAGTTAGGCTGATTCATGATTTCAAGGTCATTCAGTTTCCTTTATTTCACAAAGTAAACCTCATGTCTGCTTTGGGGCATATCTTCACTAATCAAGATGCTTTTCTTAATGAAACCTACTCATTTTCAACTGCACAACATTTACTTCCCTTTCCCTCAAAAACCAATATATCTCTATAATTACTGGTTCAAATTTATTGACTATTCTGCTCATCTGCTTCACACCCATGAAGTCAAAGATTAAAGATTTGTATTTAAGTACTTTATCACACTATGCACTTTGAAAATGAGCAAAATAAACCTTTATGCGAATCTAAAGATTGCTAAAAATCCTACACCATGGCCCAAGAATAACTGTATTTAAAAAGAATCAATAAATGATCATTTAGGTAATCTTATTGAAATGACCACAACACTAAAGCCCCTTCTTTAATTACAAAGTGGAAATCTGAAGGAAATTTATCTTGCTAAAAAAACCACAACATATTTTATCTTGCCAAAAGAACCAGGAAATTTCTTTTAACTTCCAGAAAACCAGAGGCTATAGCTAAGCAAAACACAATCTCCAAAGAAAAACAATAAAAAAAATTTAAAAATTATATTCCAGATAGTATTTAAACAACATGTTACTACATAATGTGTATGAAAAAAGATAAGAAAGAAATATGTGATTTTAAAAGTTTGATCTATATAGAAAACCAATTTTTTTCTTTTATTTAGAATTAGCTTTTATAAAGCTACATAAGAATATATTTATAAAAAGTCAAAGAAATTTTTTGCCTAATTTTGATTAGCAAATTCAATTATAACTTTGTCTTATGTGTTCTTCTTCATATGGTTTATTTTGTTTTACTTTGTCTCAGAGACATGGTTTCACTCAAAAGGAAAACTGCTTATAGCCAATCCTGACAGCCTTGGCCCTTTCCCATAGCAGTATCATGCTTATAGAATGATCATCCATACTAAGGGACAGTTCTCTAGAAATCTGTGACAAATAAGCTAACAAGGACCTTAAGAAGGAAAGATGTTTAGTTAATAATGGGCAGCAAATGGTTCATCTCTGAAAACTTGAAAAAGAGAAATATATATAGAGAGGTAACAAAGGTCTCTTGTCATCACCAACAAATATTAACAATCAAACTCATTTTTGGTGAGGCTGTTTGATAACACTGTATTAGCTTCAAACTGTTTAAGGTGTTCTAACCTGTAAGTGTGCATTCTATTTCTTAGCCTCTAAAACCATCATCTAGTTTGTTCTCCAAATACATGACTGCCTAATTTGAAAATAGTACAAAGATATCTAGGCAAATACTGAAGGAGCAAAATGGGGCTGCAGCTCACATCTTTCCCCCTATTCCCCAAACAGCCTAATATTTAGAAATCATTTTTCCTCCATGCTCCCCTCTGTGAGAAACACTAGGAATGAACGCTGTGAGGAACCAAGAAGAGTATTGTGAGGATAAAGGTATGTAAAGTATGCACTGACTCATGTTGCTCTGAGCTAGATGTGTTTTCTCTGCTTCTACTAATGAAAAAGAATCACTTACATCTACGGAAAGGCAAAAACAGAAGAGCAACACACTCTGTACGTGATGGAATGCTACATGACTGCAAGAGTAAAAATGAATTTTCCAAAATCTAAGTGAATGGAAGCAGGAAAGAATACTAGAATAATGACGCATGACCACAGCAATAGGTCAGTTTAAAGGCCCATATTTTGCTATTTAAAACATTAACTTTCGTCCAAGCTATCTTCATCCTTCTTCCCCTCCTTTGCCCCTCTCTCTCCCCTCAAGTTGCAAAGAATGCAGGTTTAGGTTTCAACAGGGAGGAGTCCAAGGACACTTTCCTAAACTAACAATGACTGTCTGTAATGGTTTCTGTCTCCTAACAAAAGCCATGACTCCTTCTTTATCAGCTTCATCTAATTTTTCCTTTCCAAAGTAAATAACACAGCCTTTGCATTTTACACATGTCCAAATTTGACAAATCATTATCGACTGAGACTATAGCTGATAAGAGATAACTCTGTGGTAGGACGTTGTCATTTCCTCTCCTAAGAGCTTTCTTTTGAGAGACAGAAACATGATTAAAATAGTTAAACATTTCCTCTGCCAGGCAGTCAGGAACTCAAGACATTAAGATACTGGAGTCTGTATTTTTCTAGTTCAAATAGACCTATGAATATACCAACAATCGCCATAAACAGTAAATTCAAGATAATTCTGCTTTTTTAACTAGTTGTTTTCCTTCTGAGAGAGCACATGAAATAATTTCATCACCAAGGACAGCAGCTGCCTAATTCCCTTTATACTTTATGAATGAAGAGTACTGGTGCCTCTTGCCAGCTCAAACCTCCAATTTTTCAGGAGTATCAAATAGTAGGATTTTAGATTCTATACCTAAGACCTGTGCCTCAGAGCATATTATATCATACCAATTAAGTGAACATGTATTTTTAAATGAACAAATAATAAGTTATTAAAAGAAGTTTGAGGCGACTGAATTACAGTATTCAGGCATACATATCATGGAGACAAAAACTATATTCTACAATTTTACTTAATATTTAAGTAGCACTTATATAGTACAAATACACCAGCTTTCACATAAAGTTACTATACAGATGACCTGTATGGAGACAATAAGATACAAAGAAAAGCATATTTATAAATGGGGTTAATAAAAGAAATTCTACCAATAAGCCTCTGCAGACAGTATTTATTGAAGAAGACACAAAGATTCAAAGTAGGCATGAGAGTATTAGGTGATCAGGAAGAAAAGAAATAAGAACACTTCTGATTGTGAAAATTCTTACACAAAGTAAAAAAACAACCAATCTAACTTCAATGGAATCATTTTTTATTCCCTAATATGTTTTAGTTCTGGAAAAAGGAAGTTCCTGAAAATGGAAAAGTAAATACCTAAGTCTGTCGGAAAATGGAAAGATAATACGGCATAAGGAAAATGTTTTCAAATATTAAAGTAAAACAGATTTTGATTTTAAAAACAAAGGTCACTCAAGTTTTAACAGATATATCCATTTAATATTTTTATAGCTCTACTCTTCCCCAAAAGAAAATCAGAGTCAGTAGCTATTTCTACCATCTATCTTAAAAGATTCGCTAGACAAGGAAGGTGAAGGTAGGGGGAAAAATGAGACCATCTGCGAGTAATAATCTGATAAATGTACCTGTTTAAAGCTAAGCAGGCATAGCCTGACTCCCTCCACTTGAGAGTAGTAAATGTACTATGAGAGATTTGCCTATGCTACTGAGAAAGACACTGCATAAAAAGAGAAATGCATTAGTACGCTCTAGCCATGTAGTACACACATCTTTTCCACAAGGTACAGGCATAAATACTCACTCTCACTCTTCTGCTCTCCTTCTTATACACACAACCCATTTATTTTTTCTCTTAAAAAAAACTTTCAAAGTAGATAGGTCATCCGAAAGGAATATGATAGAAGTTTGCAAGAAATTTAGATATGTTTCTCAGTAATTCCCCAAGCCATTCTCCTCCTCAAAAACCCTCCTGATTACCACTTTACACAAAACAGTTTCTCAATATTGGTAAGTGAATGCAAGGACTTGATGTTCATTTTAAGCATTAATTGAACTTCAAGTCATTAAAATGTACCAGGCATTTTTCTATAAGGAGCAAATAACAAATGATTAGTTGAAGAGACTTAAGTCTTTGCATTCAGAAGATCAGTTGTGACTGCTCATACTATGTCTGAAAGCCAGGAAATACCTGGCAAACATTCTTCACCAGGGTGATTTTCTGTACTACTTTCGCTTCCAAAACTTTAGAGAAAAGAAGACTAGAAATAATCATTTGGACATAAGCTCTCATGGAGCTAGACTAAACATCACAAACGTACCAACAAACTAGAAGCCTTGTGATACTAAGAAACTAGAATTACCAAAGTACAAAGATTTTCTAATCCTTGCAGCACATAAGGACACACTCACCAGAGCTCTATCCTAAAAAGTACAGAATTTTCAGTAAAGCTCTTCACATAATATTAGGATCCTTGCTGAGAAAAGAAATT